ACGACGACGACGAAGTGTACGACAACTACACTTAGTGTCTTTATTGTTGTTGTTGTCACTACTATGACGGCTTCTGCCACTGTCGATGCTACTGCTACTCCTGCTTCTTCTTCCAGGGAAGGTCTGCCGGTTTTGGGACCTTCGGGTTCAGGGTAGGCCCTTTAGACGTCTTTTCTGGGTTTGGTGGGGGGAGGGAGTAGTTCGGGGTTTCCGTGGAGCTCTTTTGCTAAGCTAGGGGGCTGGGAGTGTACGGATTGCATGAGAGAAGGTCGGCCTCTGAGGATCCCTGAGGTTTCGTCTAGATTCAAGATTGGGGGTCCCTCGGTATGCAAAAAATGCACAAAACAAACCATGTCGCACCCCAACACCGAGACACACCATCGTGCTCACGAAGAGCCGTAGCATGACAAGCACAGAAAAAAATCAGAAGCCATGAAGCACAAAGCCCTGCGGGCAGCCTCTAAACCACCGCTCATCCTAGATATCTTGTTCCCCGCATGCATAAACATCTGCCACCAGAAACTCGAAACCCCCGAGCCAAAAATTCAAAAGCTACACAATTTGCTCTCTCTCTCTCTCTCTCTCTCCCGCACACCACCCGAAACCTAAAATCAAGCCGGAAACCCTGCGGCAGTACCGAGCCCCGCGCCAAGCCGAGGATTTGAAGCGGTGTCACCGGATTGTGATACCTGGAAGGTTTTCAGGGACAAGGTCTGGAGAGGCTCCGCGAGGGCTTGGCTTTAACTGCAAGGACGACGGTTTAGTGATGCAAATCTGCGTGTGCCTGGGGCTTAGGGGAGCTTAAGGCGTAGAGACGAACCCAGAGAGCCCAAGAGGGAGCCCAAGACCCCTTAATTAAGGAATATAGCTTAAATTATAGGGGCCTTAATATTATGATTTAAGGTATATATTCCTTAATTAAGGTGTAATGAATGGGCTCTCTGGGAAGCCTCAAGGCTTACAGTCGTTGCTTCGCACGCTCGGAGATTTGGGCCTTCGAGCCAAGACTTACACTCTTCTGGAAGTGCTGGCAAAGCTTCAGCATAGCAGGTCCCAAAAAAGGGGGGGAAAGAGACGGAGAGAGAGAGAGAGAGAACAAAAAAAGCGCCCTATGCAATGCTTCAGTACCCTTGCACTTGCCATGAATGTTTGTCCTAACTGCTATCGCGACAGTCTCGGGAGATCGTCGCGGTATGTGGTGAAATATGCAGGAGGCTGGCAATGCCCAATAACATTACCAGTAATGGTGTCACACTTGTGCAAAGGGAGCTGGTGGGCCGTCCGTATCTCAGCACTGCCCCTGTACAGTCTGTACGGTTGCCGTGCTTCTGATTCAACCCGTATGTGCATGTACAAATATGTGCAGACATGTCTGCATAAAACTGAAAACAAAGGAACCCACAAGACATATGAATACATATCCAATTTTCGCTGTTCGGTTCATGCATGGATACTGTTATAGTACCCTGACATGTGCCCTGTCACGCCTGCCATGACGCAAGTTTCTCCAGATAACACTAATACTGGTGCCTTCCACCTAGCTGTGAGCCTTAAGCTCCAGACCGCTCGCGATAATACTGTCATCCGCATGCCCAAGGCTGAACCCTAAATCCCGGGTCCAAGCGGCTTCAGGTAAGACACCAGGATGGACACAACCTGCACCGGGGCTTCGGAACCACGGCATCCAGAACATCGTCGTACATAGTGCTTACCCGAAGCCCAAAGGAACGCGCTATGTATGTATGTATGTATGCACGTGAATGTGTAGGTCAAAGTGTATGCATATGTTCGTGTACGTATGCCGTATATGTATGGATAATTGCATGTATATCTGTACGTGTATGTATGTATGTGTACACCTGTATGTGTGTGTACATATATATAATATATATACACACATAATATCTTTGTGTATATATATATACATATGTAGAAGGATAGATAGAGATTGAGCTGGAGATAAAGATAGAGCCGGAGATAGAGCTAGATTCATGTAGAAATAGATATGCCCGAAACACTAAGCCTGTATGGAGCATGGAGGCAAGATAGTAGCCGACCTGGCGCCTGGAGGGCTTCAAAACTCACCCCCAAGAGAAGCCTTTTAGGGATTTTAGGACTTCCAGAGCTTGCTTTTTGGTTTTGGGTGGCTTTTGGGATTTGGGGTTACAGGTTTAGGGTTTAGGGCTTTTAGTGTTCAGGTGGACCTCCTTCTGTCGCCAGGTTCGAGCTTCTGATTCCCCCCAGAATCCCCCTCACCTCAGCACCAAAGGGAAATCAGGGATGCGAAGCCAAAACGACCAACGCCATGCAATCCCGAAATGTCTCCCGGACCCTTGATGGCTCCCTTCAGTTGGTTGTGTACTTTGCAAACTTTGGACCTGGTCTACTTAAGCTAGGAACTTGTTTGTATTGCTATGGTTGCCATATTCTCTTGCCGTGGGGCGGCTTCAACAAAGGCGGTTGACTGCATGCTCATACATGTCATGATTCTGCCTTTTCAATATTGTCATAAGGAGCAAGGGGACGTGATGTGCATGTTTCACAATCGAACAAGGCCGCGTAGGACAACCAAGGTGGAACATCTGATTCGGGCAGGAATTACACGTAAAGATCCAGGTGAAGTACTCTCGCGGTCCAGTCGCTCAACATGAACCAAACTGTCGGTTCGACAGGTCATTTGCGGGACTTTAAACTAGCCCTAAACCCTAAACCCTAAGCTAGTAGATCCATGGAAGCCTTGGACCTAGGGTAGGTAGTACTATACATGCCTGGAAGTAGGGATGTAAGTGTGGCTGCTGCAACGATTCTGCATTCGAAAATGCTCAGATACAGTATAGCTCCGGTGACCCTGCCAGCAGGCTGTACACTTTGAAGATATCTTTCCCTAAACCCTAAACCCTAAGCTTTGGGGCGCTTCCTGCCCTGCCCTCCTGGCGGACGTTCATCGTCGCTGCGAAGACCAATGCACCGAACTCCTGGCGATGACAAAAAAAGCCACTGCTTACCCATAGGCCCCTAAGTAGTTCCTTTTTAGAGTTTATATGTAGAATCCTATAAGGCTATAATAAGGTAATCCCAACAAGGAACTACTTAGCCGCCTATGGGTATCTTGCTGTTGCATTAAGAACCACAGAGTGTAGTAATGCATGGTTGGGCGTTCGTGGTCCAGGATTTACGGTCCGCCAATCGGCGTAGATCGTAGCACCAGGACGGACAAGCGAAATGACAACCGTACTACTATAGACTATACTGTCTACGCGAAATTGCAAAACATAGTTGAAGGTCTGCAAGATGACCTTGTGGTTTCATATGTGTGTACATGTATATACATATAATTCTGTGTACGTATATACATATATATATATGCATATATATATATAGATATATAGAGAGAGAGAGAGAGATTTGCCTTGTCGACTGCATGCGGGGAAGGAATCTTGCAATGCATCATGTGCACCGTTCCTCTGCGTGGGACCCTGACTGTTAGGATCGTCAGGTTAATTTCAGTGTTTGCTTAGACTTCGGGGTGTGGGATGCAAAAAAATATTCTATACACCTGTGCAAGCGTGTGGGCAGGGCCAGGAAGCAAATGAGGGAATTGCTGTGGGGTTACACTAATATAGAAGCCTAGATAATTACCTATATCACTCCTTAGGGTTCCTTATTAGCCATCAGTTATAAGTATACTATAGTATACTATAATGGTACCGGAAACCCTCTTAGAATTGTTACCAGGCCCCTACATTGGTGATCTTGTAGAAGGACTGAGGAAAAAACAGCGTCCGCTCCTCAGGCTGCAACATCAAACCGACAAGCCCAGCCCTTAATGTTAGTCCGCAGACCCAGAGACTCCCAAAACCCCATTAATGAAGGAATATATACCTTAAGTTCTTATTTAGGGGTTCAATATATACCTTAAGTTCTTATTTAGGGGCTCCTATTATAATTTCAGGTCTAGTCCTAAATTAAGGGGTTTGGGAGTCTCTGGGTACCCGAATCCCGTACCGTGCATAGGCTACTACAGATTTCTACAGACATTGGAGGATCAGGTGTGGAACAGGACATAAGCCTACAAGGTTTAGGGTTTAGGGTCCTCAGCTGAGGATACAAGATACAAATTACCACGCTTGTAATCTTGCCGCACACCCCCCTTGCTAAGTCCCCTGAATTTCAGTGGCTACCCTCCCCTTGCAAGACCCTAAACCCTAAACCCTGATTTTCAGTGGCTGCCCTCCCCTTGCAGCCTTAATCTGCGAGTAGATGAAGAACTGGCTCGCAACCGCCGAGCCGCTCAACAAAGCAGAATCCTGGCTTTAGGGTTTACCTAGAAAGCCAGTTTACCATAATTTGGAGTAACTGTTGCCCCTTATTCCTTTAAAGTTGTATATATTTATGGGCAACTTGGCTTTCCAGGTAGGGTTTAGGGGGCTTTGGGGTTCGGACGAATTTCAGAGAGGGTTCGGGGCTTCCGGGCTCTGGGGTGTAGGGCTTTGAGGCTTTAGCATCCGGGGCTTCGAGAACATGGGGGCCGTGAGACCTTGAAGGTCGGGCTTTAGGTTTCGGGGAGGATTTACCCGAAACCTAAGTAGTTCCTTTTGGGCCTTGCCTTATAAACAGGATTCTAAATAGAAGTCATAAAAAGGCACTACTTAGGGGCCTATGGGTAGTGTACCATCTCAACCGCTGCCATCTGCACCAACACCGGCGCCGTGCCGCCTGCAACCACCAAGCGTGATGACGAGGCAGAGGTTTTGAACACAACCCCGTAATTTGACAGCAATCCGACTCGGTTTCACAACGGCTTTGGCTTCTGACTACCCTGATAGTGAACCCTTAGAGTCCATGAAGCGCACTAGCTCTCAATCCCAAACCCCTGAACTTCAATTCCAGCAACACAGCTCCTACAGATCCACCTGCAACCCCCCAAACCCTGCTAATGCCCTTATGACAAGCGAGATTTGCAAATCCCAAACCCTAAACCCGAAGCCCAAGGCCCGGGCCAACCAGAACTGTGGATGAGCAAAGCCAAATGCCACCGCCGGAGCGAGCTGACCTCCGGGTCGCTGGAGTTTAAACCAATTTTCGCGTATACTATAGCTCCATTACATAGGTTTAGTACCCTAAACCCTTAACTCTTTCATTAAATAGGTTTAGTAAGGCTATAATTATGAGGGGACTCTAATGGTGTAGTCTGACCTCCATGTCGCCAGGGCTTAAGACCCAATTTGAGGTTAGTTAGGGTTAGGGTTCAGTTCATCTCGGGCATTTTATAGCTTCATTCTACAAGGACTATATATCACGTCAACGGAGGGCTTGCTGCTCGAACTTATGCTGAAGGTTTGCGATGCTTGGGTTTTTGAACCAGAGGATTCGCCCAAATTTAAGTCTGGCTGTTCGGGGTGTGACGGTTTATGGGGGTTTGAGCTCTCAGATTGCATGGCAGCGGTGAGTGCATGTTCGACCCCTGGTTGCCAAGCACACTCAAAAGGGGGGGCCGCGCCTGTCGCCAGCAAGGTGATGAAGGACACAGTCGCCGAGAGAAGGTTGATGTAGAGCATCTGGTTGTACTTTGTCGTTTTGTGCTCCTGTGCCATATATAAATCCCGAACATGGTGTCCCTTGGGAGGAGGAGGCCTCGAACATACCGTTTCCTCTAGTTTGTGAAGGTCGAGAAGCCGAGTTCACCCAATGTGGGTGGTTCTCTAAATAAGGGTTCCTTTCTAGGCCTCCAAATCGTACGGCGCCCTTTAAAAAGGACCCTCAAAATAACCCTAATTTAGAGAACTACCCATGTACTAAGGCTTTAAGTTCAGGTCCGTCTCGCGGTGCCTAACAAAGCCGATGTTCTGGGCTCTTGGAAAACCCTCCGCCTAGCAAGGGTCTTTTTTGAAGTGTGCATTGGAGGACTTTCGCTCGCAGACTCCCTGCCCACTTTGGGCTTGCGCAAGGGTTTGCGGTTGCTGGGCTTTCGGTTTACTACAGTGATTTTGCACAAAAGCTATGTTACGACCTCCTTAGTCTCCCATGTCTCTCTCTCTCTCTCTCTCTCTCTCTCTCTCTCTCTCTCGCGCACGTGCAGGTTGAAAAACTGCAAACAAACTACGTCACGCCTTGAAACCTTGCTTCCTAAACCCTCAAACAACCCCATTAGCCTGAACTCCTTGTAGGAGCCCTTGTTGGAATTCCTTCCGGAACCCTTGACTGGAGCCCAAACGAACTGGTCCTTGAACAGCTTTTCCTGGAAGGTGGAAGTGAGCCCATCCAAGGCAAGGAAGCAGCCCAGCAGCAAGAAGCCCTTGAAGCTGTTGCTAGCGTCCACCTGTGGGAAACCCCTGGACGTCCTAGACAGATCTTCCAATTTCACATGTTCCCTAGCTAGAACAACAGGCACCAAATATGAGTTCAGGAAGCATTCCTGGATTTGGAGGGTCTAAATTTTCGAAAATGTCCGAAATCTAAGCTTTGGGGCCTGAGCTGATCATTCGCCTTCCCTCAAATCACTAACATATCAAGCTGGTTCCTATATGGGACTTGCGGCAAAGCGAGTGCAGGGACGAGCAGGGCTGCCGGAGGACATTGCAAGATGTACTGCTTTCGAGTGTCGGCCTCTTGCGGCTTAACTTCAGGTGCTACATAGGGCTTTGAGGGTCCAGAACGTTCAGGCTTTGGCTGTAGGGCCTTGTTACCCTTACCCTCAAAGGACTCATATTTTAAGGCTTCTGGGCCCAAAGACCCTATTATATAAGGCTTTTGGGGCTATTTTGATGCTAAGGGGGGTTAGGGTAGTCGAGATCGGGCGCACCTTGGAATGGGTAGGGCCCGTCATGAGGAATTCGGTGCATCCGAGAGTGACGGTGAGCGCCACCTGCACAGTGGTTTTTCGAGAGGGAGAGGGGGGGGGGGGTGTTGGAGGCTTGGGATCTTGCTTGCATAATTGTGGCGCCTATGCATAGATGTGGCGCCTAATTACGGTAAAAAGGCGAAGTCAACAAGATGCCTGGAAGCAAAGCCAGATCCATGATGTCAGGAGTAATCATAAACTGACCATCCGGGTAAGATTCGGGGACAAATGTGCGTCTCGCCGAAAAGCGTCTATGCCGCCCATGCACTCACCAGATCGGGTCTTATATTTTGAGATGGGGGATTTGACTTGAGCAATTTAATGGGTTTTTTGTGGCAGATTGTACCAGACTGAACAGGAATAAAGCCTGCATGGCAAGATGAGCTAAGTCGGTCCGAGGCCGGTTTAAAGCTGCAGAGAAGGGTAAGGACAGAAGATCATGAGCTTTAGGAGTTAAAGGAGACACTCTCAGAGGCATCGCCCTCCCAATCTTGCTGAAAGCTCGCCGGAACAGAGACGGCCGTGATTGCCTAGCCGACCCTCTAGCGTAGTTGTTGCTATGTGACCGCCTTGTGGCCGTATTCTCTGAGAAACGGCTACTAGAAGAAGCAGGCAGTCGGACAGGCTTCCACCCATGACTGAAATCGAGATCGCGGCACCAGCCAGT